ATCTAGCTCGATAAAAACAGAACCAGCAACTTTGTGACACTAACCAGTCTGACTGTAAACTGGACATATCTCATTAACCCATAAATCTAGCTTTATAGTTGCACCCCTCCGGGCTCATGCATGACCCAACTTGGTAACTTCAAAGTTGGTTACTTAATCTGCACTTCTCCTTTAGTAAGTTAATGCTTAGTGACAGACAGTACAGTTTTTTCTGTTTGTGTGTGTGTGTGTGTGTGTGTGTGTGTGTTCCTTCTGACTCTGCAAATGACACTTCAGTGAGTCGTCGTCTTTCCTTCCCTTTCCTACTAGACTTTCAGTATGAAACAAGAAGCGTTGCTCATATTTCTCCTAATATTGCAAAGCAGCTGTTCAGACAGTTTTTCTAACTAAAAATGCAAAGGTCAGGGCTGGAGTGATAATTCCAACGTACTGATGGAGTTTGAATAGCAAATCATTATGTAACTCCTTCATGCTTTAGTTCTGTACTTGGCTGCTGTTTATTTTTTGTTATTGTTTATTTGTGGATAGTTTAATAGGGGGCTTTGTGTGAAATCCTCAAATTTAATAAAAAGGATTTGGATTAAATCATTTATTTTAAAATGCATGATTTGTGCGTGTGCGTGTGCGTGTGTGTGTGTAAACTGTGATGGCTTGCGTGGCTGTGGGAGAGTTGGATTAACGGTTATTTAGCCAGATTTTTATCTGTGAATAAACATTGCAAGCAAAGAAATGCTCTTTGGGGTTCAGCGGGGTGCGGTTTTCCTGCTTGTGTGGTTGTTCTTGGTGTTTTGTTGGCGCAGGAAGTGAAAGCAGACAGACCACAGTGAAACCAGTTCTGACTAAACCCAAACATAACCCATGTTCTTCCTAAGAATGAGCTGTTAGACTTTGTCCGGCAGGAATTGCATCATAATGTCAGAAATCTCACTCCTGCGTGGTTTATTTTTTTAAATAGAGAACAGTAATGAAGCACAATCTTATTATCGACTGTATTTCTGCTGCCTCTTACAATATGTTACCTTTAGATAGACGTGTTTTTAGTCAAACATGACGACAGTTTTACAAATAAGCTTCACACCAGAGACCTTGACGGACCTAAATGTGTGATATCACTGGTTTAATGTTTCTGTTAAAATATAAGCAGAGATGAGGTGAAAGGGAATTAAAAATATTTTTCTTTCTTTGGGTTAAATTTAAAAGGGGAAGTCCTCTGCAATCTGAAGGTATCCAATTAATAAACATATCGTAAATCTAAGATCAATCTTTGTTAGATTTGACTGTTAAAATTGTTGTCTATGAACAGAGAAAAAAGAAGAAAGGAAAAAAGAAGGAAATCATGGACCCGGAATTCTTTGCAGTTTATTTAATGGTTTTTTTTTTTGAAGGCCAGCCAGGAAGTTGGTTAGCATTGCCTTGGTTCCTTTGATTGAAAGAAAATACCTTTTTTGCAATAATAAAGAAGTTTATCAGTAACATATTATTTGCAACTTAACTGAGATCTTCCTAAAAGCAAAGCACTAACGTTAAACTACAAACTACACCGCATGACGTCAGCATAACCACGAATAACTTCCTATTTTTAGCGTGATGACACTGAAAATGTCTCACAATATAAAAGCTTCATAATTGACAGCTGAGATTTTTACTTAAGCTTCATATTTTTAAGCTTGTCTTAACCCCAGACCTTATTTCAGATGAGTCGGGGTCAAACTTGTCCATTAAAACACATTAAAAACAAGGAAGCTGTGTAGTTATTTCCTGCTTTTAAGCCTCCTCTGCATCACCCTGGAGATGCCCACAAAATGTAATGACGTACAGCATTGAGTTTGAAGTAGAAGCTGGTTCAGGATGATCAATAAAAATGATGGACAGTAAATCAAGACGTCCATTTTCTTCAAGTTATCTATTTAACAGCCACATTTAACAGGGTGAGAGGTTGGCTGCACCCTGGGCACGTCTGTAGCCTGTCACAGGGCCACCACAGAGACGACTATTCATGCTGAGAAAACAGGAAAATATAAATCAATGAATCTCCAAAAAGTTGATTCTGTTCATCTGGACGCAGCGTTCTGTGGGAGAAACGTTTCATCACTCATCCAAGTGACTTCTTCAGTCTCAGCTGACTGCAGGTTTCCCCAACCTTATAAACAGTACATTTGCATAATGACTTAAACCAGCCCACTGAGGGAACAATGGACCGGGAGGTCAGTTCCTTAATCATAATTATGCAAACACCGGGTCTCTGTGGCTTTTAAACCCCAAAACACCTGATCTGGCACCAAACCATAGTGTACGCTGTTAAGTGCCAGGAGGATTGCCAGGATTTATACATCGGGGAAACCAAACAACCTCTGGCGAAGCGGATGGCACAACACAGAAGAGCTACCTCGTCAGGCCAGGACTCTGCAGTCTATTTACACCTACAGGCCAGTGGACACTCTTTCAAGATGAGGATGTACACATCCTGGACAGGGAGGAACGCTGGTTTGAGCGCGGAGTCAAGGAGGCCATTTACATGAAAAGGGAAAGACCATCTCTGAATCGAGGAGGGGGCCTAAGGGTACATCTTTCGCCATCTTACAATGCTGTGATTGCAGCCATTCCCCAACTCTCTGTGAATGGTACTCATGGCCATTGATCAGTGGGTTTTGGTCAGTGGTTGTTGATCAATGGTCATGAGAATTTGCATAATTAGATTAAGGAACTGACCTCCCAGCCCATTGTTCCTTCAGTGGGCTGGTTTCAGTCATTATGCAAATGTAGTGTTTATAAGATTTGGGGAAACCTGCAGTCAGCTGAGACTGAAGAAGTCACTTGGATGAGTGACGAAACGTTTCTCCCACGAAACGCTACGTCCAGATGAACAGAATCAACTTTTGGAGATTCCTGGATGATTGAGAATGCGTCAAGAATAAATCAATGAAAGCATATAAAGAGCTAACTTGAGTTTTTTGTGTAGAATCACATAAAAATATATAAACAGGGAAATTGAAAAGAGCCCGTTTTCGCCGTCTGACTAAGATGTGTCCGGGACACCACCTTGTTATTTCAGAAGGAGGCGCCGGGGCAGACCCAGAACACACGGGGAGATCATGTTTCTCTGCTGCCTTGGGAACACCTCTGCCTCCTTCCCCCCCCCCCCCCCCCGCCCCCCCGCCTGGAAGAGCTGGAGGGGGGGCTGGTAATAGGGAGGTCTTGGCATCTCTGCTTGGACTGCTGCCTCCAAAACCTGGACCCATTAAGCATCAGAAAATGGATGGATGCCATATGTATCATAGTAAAGCAAGGTGCTGGGTATATTAAAAGCTATGGAGACTGTGAGAAATCATTAGGGGCTCCTGTGGTGGTTCTGGAGGTCAATGTCAACTAGTGTTTAATTCTTATTTGCTCACATGAAAACTGCATACAATTCAGCACACATCAAGATATTTATAAAATTACAGCATGCTGAAAGATTTACGGCATCTTTCAGTTCAATGTTTGAGTTTTATAGCCCACAACGATACTATTTTTCATTCTTATTGAACAAATCTCATTTTAGGCAGCAAGCAGACACAGTTGGAACATGAGTTGGGGGTCAGTGTTCAGCCTGAGGATGTGGTGGAGACCAAAAGTTGAGCTAAAAGAGAGAAAATATCTGATTTTGATTCGTGTGACCTAAACCCAACAGTTAATCTGTCATCATTGCTAAAATGTTTGCAAAAAAATCTGTGGGACAATCCCAAAAGGTTGATTCTGTTCATCTGGACGTAGCATTACATCCAAATGCACAGAATCAACTTTTCGGGATGTCCTTCCCTGGATAATTGAGCATGCATCAAGACTGTGGAACAATCCTCTGACCACAGGCTGATCACCTGATAAAATAAAGTTCACACTTCACCTGAAAGATCTTTAAACATTACAGCTTTAATCTAAGTGGGCTTTACTCAGCTCCAAACGGCAGATAGATGGAACCTGGATATGATAATGTGGATGTTTATATCAGTGATGTCAGTCAGGATTTCAGGATTGCCACACGGTAAAGCATTGCTTTACTTCAGAAACCTTTTCTCGTGCTTTCCTATAAGCGCTCTTATCCATTTTTTAACCTCTATACACATCTTTTCTTTTCCTGGATTCCTCTTTAATCCCCTTTCTTGTACTACAGCCTACCGGTCTATTCTCCTCCTCCTTTATTCTCCCGCAGCGGCAGTTAACCTCACATAAGACACTAATCCAAAGATCAGGATTAACAGAGGAGAAGCACAGGAAGCACATATTCCCCTGTACAATTGTATGTGTTAGCATGCGGAGCAAGAGTTGGGAAAAAAAGGAAAAACAAACAAAAAGGGGTCAGTGGTGTTCACGTGTGCACTCATGAATGAAGAGGATTCACTGGAGAGGATTTTCACACAAACTGACCCAGAAACAGGAATGTGAAGAGAAATGCTGTGCGTGGGTGAAACACACCAGTGAGCTTGTCATGTTGGCTGGATGACTCATCCAAAATTTGGGATGTGGACCGGGAATTTTGCATAATTCCAATTAAGAAATTCACCTGAAGTTCTTTTCAGGCAACATGAAATGATCCATTTAATGAACTGAACTGACCGTCAGACAGGAACTGTAATGGGTTTAGAGCGCTCTGATGTTGGTCGCTGTGCTGCCGTTAATGATACCCTGACATTTCTTTTCAGTGCACAAGCAGCGAGTGGTTACATGTTGACTCTGAGATCAAATGTTTCTCTGTGGGTTTAGACCAGACTCAAGGCTTCCTGATTATTTTTCCCCCCACAGCAACTGAACCTGACGTCTGTAATAAGCAATTAATGTCAGATAAACAGTTTTAAAAACACATCAGAACAGGATTCTTAGAGCTAGTTTTATCCACAGAGACGGTTGCTTTTAAAATCTAAAAGTTAAATTGGCACATTCTGATCTGTTTTACTCTAGATGACCACATCCAGTTTTGTTCCTTACCTTTGACTTAACCACCATATTCCCTCATTACCTGCCAGGTGAGCCCCGGGCTCCAGACTGAGTGCTAGCCATGCTGCAGCAGATTGAGCCATCGTCCAGCACCCTGCAGCTGGTTGCCAGTGATATGAGCGACATCATGGACAACCTGGACACCCGCGATCTCGACTTAGGCGATGGAGATTATGACACGACAGACACCAACGCACCTGGTACCTGCCATCACTTTGCACTCTGTACAGGTGTTTCTCTACTTGTTGTGTAAGCGATTTGTTTGTGTAACTGTTTATATTTTTTCACCTAGCAGAGGGTTTGCCTTTTAAAGAGATTTACAACACAGTGGGTTTCAAGGAGACAGAGGCCAAAGTCTACCTTTCCTCTCCCATCACTGTCAAAATCCTGGAGGTGGAGCGTTTCACCTCAGTTCAGGACCGCTTCAACCTCACCACGCAGAGGAGCGTCAACAAGGTGAAGAGCTTTTTGTCACTGTAGGGAAGAAAATGCATTTAGCCGTACACTATACATGAAACATGGAGGTAGCCACTGTGACGTCACAGTTTGAGCCAGAAGGGACTATATTTGTAGAAGAAGATGGGGTGCTAAGTTGCAGCTAGATGGTTAGCAAGCTGCATCTGTATATTGTGTGGATGCAACACAGACACAGATACCTGCTGATTAGGGCTAAGCAAGAAACTGGGTACCAGAGTTTTACTTACCAATACTGTAACATAGGTGATGGTTTTTACCTCCCAACAAGGCACAATATCTGTCCATTAAAATGCTCTTAAAAGCACCAGCAGTAAAAATGCACTGAAAAGGTCCATTTTAGTAACTTGATGTAGCTGAGGTTGGGTGTAGCAGCAGCTGAGATGGCATCTACAGTCATGGATAAAGCAGAAGAAGTCATTATTCCAGTGTTCCAGGGAAACTTTTAGCTGCTTAGGAAAACCAGGTGACTCAATTACTTAAAGATTCCAACAACGTAGTAAAAGTTGGCAGTTTATCAACAAGAAACAAAAGAAATGATGTCAAAATTCAAGACTAAATCCCAAACTTTATTTTAATCCCATTTATTTGATGAGCTTTTTGAAATGATAAACACTGAACGTAAATAACTGGAGGCCCTGCTGTGTGTGCAGTCAATGCCAGCTGTGTATAAAATTGAGATGAAACATGGAGAGTTTACATGGTTGGTGAAGAGGAAGGAGAAGCACTTCATCGATCTCCACAGAGAACTGAGAACATACAAGACCTTCATGAAGATTCCACTTCCACGCAGGTACCTTCTGAACCACAGTTCACATTTTATCTTCACTGTGCTTTGCAGAGCTCATTTTTCCTGCCTGTATTTCCACTGCATGTTCTTGGATTTGAACACACAGCCTCCTAACAAAACTTTATTTTATTTCTCTCTCTGCAGTCACACGGTGAAGAGGAACATACCGTTGAGGAGTGAGGTGAGCCAGATCCCAGAACTCCCCAGAGGAGGCGATGGCGAACTGGACAGAGGAGTTTCCAGTCGAAGGGTAAATTGCTCCTGATGGCCGATATTTAATTTTATGGTACCAGATTTACGTACTACGTATATTAAATTGTACTGAATATTTCTCATTGTTTCCTTGATCTAGAAACAACTGGAAGATTACTTGAATACTGTGCTAGCGATGCAGATGTATAGGAACTACCACGCTACGGTAAGGACACAAAAGTTACAAAGTCACTACATTCTGCTCATTTTCAGCTCCATGTTTTTGTTTTTGGATTCTATCAGAGTCACTTTGCATAATTCACAGTTCCAAATAATCCCTCTTACCTTAAACTTGGCCCCTCAGTTTTAGGTCCAACCCCCTCTAAGCCAACTTCTGATTGGCTACATCTTGCAAACAGGTTTAAGTAAGAAGTGGGCAGGGCTTCTTTATCTACCATGACCGGGTTAAAAAAGAGAGAAAGAAACTGAGTGTTTAGAGTATTCTGGAATCCGAGCTTCATTTTTAAAAACTTTGGCAATGCTTAATATGAACATCCACTGTAGTAACACTGTACATAATAAAGAAAAGCATAACAGTTAACCTTGAAAGGTTTCAATATATTTTGGAAAACACTGACGACCTTTTCAGGTCAACTTAGAAGATGATAAGTAGACAACAATCTTGTGAAAGTGAGTTTATAAATATTTTTGCTTGATTTTCAGATGGAGTTCATTGATGTTAGTCAATTGTCTTTCATTCACGACCTGGGACCAAAAGGACTGTAAGAATCATTTGTTATCAATATGTCAATTTTTCACTGAAATCTTGCACTTTAAGAAATATATCCAGTGAAATTCTGAAATTTCTACTCAAAGATGGTGTAGGTGGGGAGTGCAGGTTAAAGTTAATGGCAAAATATTTAATCTTGTCTTGCTTTGTATAATAAGGTTCTCCTAACCAGTCCTTTCTAAGTATTTTTCTATATTATGAACTGTCCTTTTGTCTTTTAGAGAGGGAATGGTGCTGAAGAGATCCGGCGGCCATCGGATCCCCGGCATGAACTGCTGTGGTCGCAGCAGAATGTGCTACCGCTGGTCCAAACGGTCAGTAAATAATCAGGATTCTTACAGGATGTTTGCTTAGCCTTAATAGTCTTGGTCATTTTCAATGTGAGCTTGTGATATGTCACAAATACACAGCAGCTTGGGTAAAACAGGAAATGACGGGGAAGCTTAGAGACATCTTACCGGTGCATCACCTCGTCTATGCAGAAGATGCAATGCTGTATTTATTGGCTGTTTAATCTGAGGAAAGGGTTCAATTCTTGGGGGTTCTGAAGTGAAAAGTTAGTACTCGATTTAAGAAAAACATTTGAATCTATCTATGTAGCTGACAAAACAAACGTCCTGAAGATGAGATTTAAATATAAAGCATTTAAAGCAATGTTTTATGTTATGCCATCTTATCTGGAACCTTATCTGTACAAACCTTCCTTAGATTTATACTTGAAATTAGTGTTAAAATCACTGTAACGGTCTGCAAATTGTACAACTGCAGTTCAGAATCGTTAATGCCTTGGATACGGAGTAAAATGCTGACACGTCATTTTAACAGAGCCTCTTATTAATGGCAGGAAAGAAGGGTTAACAGGTAAGTCCACTAAACAACAAGAGGAAACTTTGATTAGGATCGTCAGTGTTGCCACAGCTGACTGACTCAAAAACAGTAAAGTTCTTTCCATTTAGCTTTAGATTCATTTTCTTTAGCAAACAGTAGAATTCACCTTTGATTCTTATTTAAATCCTTGATCTTATTCCCAGGATGTGCATCATAAGTTAAATGCAAATCCACACTCAATCACGCAAGGATAGGAACTAATTGCATGAACTCCTGGGTGTGAAATGGTGAACAGAAGGTTATAAGAATATTAGAAACATTGCTCCGTGTATTTGTTGCGCTTCATAGGGGGTTTCCTGAACCATCCTGCTTGGTTCATTAAATGTAGGAAGAGTTGACATTTAACCAGTTTAACCAGTTAAATATGTGGCACGCCAAATGGGGTATTTAACCTTTTTAAAATGCCGTGATCCATCATAACAGATAAACATTTTGAATCTAAGAAGCTCGTCAGCTTTATTTATTTATGTATTTATTTTTATTTTAAAGGGGAGCCATTATGTTTACATAAGCCAAATGGTGTTTAAGGAAGTATATGACAATAAAAAACTTTTACTTAAAATACTGCCTGTGTGTGTGTGTGCAGCTGGTTGGTGGTGAAGGACTCGTTTTTGCTGTACATGAAGATGGATTCAGGCGCCATCTCCTTTGTAATGCTGTTTGACAAAGAGTTTGGCATCAAGATGGACTCCAAGGACACAGATACCAAACACGGCGTCCGTGTGGACAGTCTCTCCAGGTCTGCGATGGCTATTTTTACTGCTTATGTTCAATATTTTAAGGCTTGAAGAAAATCAGAAACTGAAGTAGTGTTTGTGCAGGTCTTTGGTGCTCAAGTGCAACAGCTACAGACATGCCCGCTGGTGGGGTCAGTCCATTGAAGGCTTTGTCCAGAAGCATGGCTCAGCCTTCCTCAAAGATCACCGCTTTGGATCTTTCGCTAGAGTGGAAGTGAACATCCCTGCCAAATGGTAACCACACTTACTCTTTCTGCTGTAGTTACACTCACATTTGACACCTTAAAACCTGTTATTTAACATTCAGATCACTTCTAGTCAAAGTAGTTTCAGTTCCTGAGTCACATTAGACCGAGTTAGGGATACACCGATCTACATTTGTGGACTGTACATCGGGCCGATCCTGTTGACAGACTCTTAGACGATTTCTTTATTTCAGTTCTTTGTTGTTCTGTGTTTACTTCAGTTTAAAAGCAGCAAAACAATATAACCTCAGTAATGGATACCTCCAAAACAAACATCACTATTCTGCTGCAATAGGTAAATGCATCATGACTGGAAAGCTCTCAGCACCTGCTACAGAAAGTGAATGCAGAGCTGTTAAAATGCTATTTAATGATGCTCTCAAGTGAAAGAGTGAGTGAAGGCTGCAAAGTTCAGCTGCAAGTGAACACATCACCATTTAAACTGAACTTCTGGATAACAGCGGGTAAAATCCACTGCCATTATAAAGCATTACAGTACAGTTTCCATAAAAGCAAGCGAACAAGATGTGGATACAGGTCAGTTTTTTCTTCACTGCTGTGACGCTGATGCTTCAGGCAACTTAAAACTCATGGATACGAGCTGATCTGTGTATGAACTGAGCTTCTTTTATTTATTATAACAAGCAATAAAAAACAGCCTCACATCTTCCTCTTAACCTTAAACTGAAGCACTTTAGTGCCAATCACCAGACCCAGGATCACTTTAAAAAAAAAAGTCTAGACGATACCCGGTCCAGCTGGCACAGCGTGCAGGTTAGTGTGTGTTTGTGTACTTCTGCCTTTGTGGGAACTGCTTTGAGGTTTAGACTTTAAACATGAGGACATTTATAGAAAGTGATGAGCCACTTTTTAGAGATTTAAAGACTGTAGCTGCGAGGTTACACAAAGAAAAAGCATTATGTAAGAGGCAATCCTCACAAGGTAGATGCACAAATGTGTGTCTTGCGCTGGAGTAACCCGACACAAAGCAAGGGAAAGTGAGACTCACCTGCTCATCACCTGTCCTCCCGCTGGGGAACCCTATACCATCTGTGAGACACACTGTGAGTGAGTGTGTGCCTGCTGTCAAGAGCATAAGGATTCAACAGGCAATGGACAGATTGAAAAGTGAGAGGAGAAGTGTTTGTTTCATTTTTCTTTCTGTCCAAACAAGAGCAAAAAGCATCAAACACTGAAATGAAACCAGAGGACGGCTAAAGCTGAAACCTCGGAGGCTGAAAAATGAACCTAGTGCTCAAGTTCCAATAACTGCAGGTCCTCTAATGTCCACTGGGGCTGGCTTCAAAAGTGAGTCAGTTCCCTACAGACTCCCATGTTAAAATGCCTAATTTTACAGCAGAAGTAAACATGTTTACAGCCTCCTGCAGAAACTGTTTTGTCTCTTAGACAGGATCAAAGGTCAGGGAAAGCTGGAACAGCTGGGTTTGAGGAGGGATGAGAACACGCTCCCATTCTCTGTTAAACAGAAGACAGAGCAATCAGCCAGTTTTCCCACCTGGTGCACGAGAGAGAGAAAAAACGAAGAAGTGAAGTTGGAGGAAGGACATGAGGAAGGGTGTGACAGGGAGAGGGAACAAAGAGGAGGGAGGGCAAGAAGTGCACGTCAGGCTACGTCGCAGGTTATAATTCAAATAGCACAAGAAAAAACTCTATTCCTACTCTGCCCCTGATTCACTCCTCCTACATAAATAAAAAAGTTAGCACTCCACTCACGAGTCAAATAGAAATAAAAGCAACTTAAATAAGAGTCAATCTCAGCAAGTTAAAGCAGCAGACACATCACAACCTCCGCAGCTGTGTCTTTGTCAGAGAAGGTGGACAGATGGTAATTACATGCAGGAGGAGATGTGAGGATAGTGTTGCAGTTTAATTCAGCATGCATGGCTTCCACAACATCCTACAGCAGGGGTGGGGAACTCCAGGCCTCGAGGGCCGGGGTCCTGCAGGTTTTAGATGTGTCCTTGATCCCACACAGCTGATCTAAACGGCTAAATTACCTCTTCACCATGTCTTGAAGTTCTCCAGAGGCCTGATAATGAACTAATCATTTGATTCAGGTGTGCTGACCCAGGCTGATATCTAAAACCTGCAGGACACCGGCCCTCGAGGCCTGGAGTTGCCCCACCCCTGTCCTACAGCAACATGATGACCAGTCAGGTTATAGATAAGTGGGACCCTTCATCAGGACCCTGATTAGAAACCCCTCCAGGCTCGACTCATAACTCATAATCCCCCAGGTTAAAATCAACTGAGACAGTTTGGAATGAGTTGGAGTGCAAAGTAAAGGAAGGACAATTCAGTTTATGAAGGGCACACCTTCAAAATAAAAGAATCCAGAATATTTTATAATTTTATATGTGGTGAACTAGTTCTGATGCCTTCTGTGTTGTTGTTTACAGTAGGAAAGAAAATAAACAAAGTGTTGAATGGGAGAAAAAAAAACGATTTCATGGACGTCTTGTCTTGTGCTCCTTCGATTATTTCTTTTTTTTGTACTTTTTAATATGAAATTTAAAAAAAACAAAACAGTTTTGGACTGATTTTCCCATTTTGAGAAGGCGATGATTGAAGTGTAATTTGTGGGTTTGTTTGTGGTTCTTCTGAAGGTACGTGAACGGGAAAACATACATGGAGGATGTGGCCAATGCTCTCGAAGAAGCCAAGGAGGAAATCTTTATCACCGACTGGTGGTGAGTGTTCAGCACAGAGCTGTGAGTGTGTCTGTGTGTGTTTTCATAGTGCACTGAGTGCACGTGGCGGTCACCTCTAAGAGAGGTTTCTGGTCAAATAGATCAGTTACAGTCTAGCTACTGTTACACACACACACACACACACAACACACACACACACACACACACACACACACACACACACACACACACACAAACACACAAACCTACAGACAGTATTTGTTTTTATAAATCAGTCTTACCACTACATTTTACTTGCATATATATATATATATGTATATAAAAAAATAAAAAAATAAGTGTGTGTAAGTGTAATCAAGTATCCTGGAGGCTGGAGTCCGCAGTTTTAAGTCTACTGGTATGCTTCCGGATTAGCTAGAGAGGAAGTAAAGGGAAAGAGAAAAGGGAAACCAGAAAACAAGCAAAGTAAGGAACAGAAAAGATGAATGAAAAGAAAGGAGGAGGAAGCGTAACAGTGAGAGTGAACTGAGGGGAAAAACCTTTTTGGCCTGTTTCATCCCGCAGGCTGAGTCCAGAGATCTTTTTGAAAAGGCCAGTTGTTGAAGGAAACCGATGGCGTCTCGACTGCATACTAAAACGCAAAGCGGTAAGAAGGACGTTTTTCTTAGTTTTTATAGCAAAAGTAAAGCTGTCATGTCAATTTCTCCATATTGATATAATACAAAGTATTTTTCCCTAAATTTAAGGTTGTGTCCTGATTCATTGTTTCCCTGCTCTCCTCCACAGCAACAAGGAGTTCGAATCTTTGTGATGCTCTACAAGGAGGTGGAGTTAGCTCTGGGCATTAACTCAGGATACAGCAAGAGAACACTGCTGCGCCTCCACCCCAACATCAAGGCAAGTACACAAGTGTAAAGGCCTTCTGCAGGTTCATAATGGCTGAAACGTTGCATTTCTTCTCTAAATTTTGGGATATTTTGTTCACCAGGTGATGCGCCACCCAGACCACGTCTCCTCCGCTGTGTACCTGTGGGCGCATCATGAGAAGATCATCGTCATTGATCAGTCGGTGGCCTTTGTGGGTGGGATTGACCTTGCTTATGGACGTTGGGATGACAGGGAACACCGGCTCACCGATGTTGGGAGTGTGACGCTCTCTCACTTGGAGCAGGTCACTTCTTCAATTTAGTGTCACTTTGTGCAAGAATCAAAACATTTTATAGACCTAATTTCCCATCATCACTCTCCACAGATACTTATCTCATTTCTTTCAAATAGACTAAAGGATTTAATGCTCTGCTCACATTGAGAAAACCCTGCACAGAAACATACCCAGACAGGTGTTTAGAACCCTCCTCCCATGTTCTGATATTAGGTGCTAATTAACCTCCTTATAACCAAGGGTGTTCCCCAGGGAACCATTCTAGGGCCTCTCAAATTAATAACAGTCTTAGCCACAATATCACAAATGCCTACTCCAACTTTTATGTTTCTGATAGAGTGATCTGCTGCTCAAAGTCTTCTTCTAACCAAGCTTTCTATCAACTGGATAACTTTTTAAAAACTTTTCTTAGTAAAAAATATTAAAACCCCAAAAAGAACAGAGGGAAAATGATCTAAAAATGAACCCAATAGTCATAATTAATATAAATTAACTGAATTAACTGGATCAGACTTACATTAAAGAAAGCAGTACAAGAGTGATAATACATCTGTTTTATTACTGTTTATTAGGCTGCAGCTGCCTCTCCCAGCATGGCTGCCCAAGCCAACGGCAGTGGTACGTTTTCCCAGAGCAACGGAAAAGGCGTATTCACTGTGGCAGACTCGATGGACCAGCCAAGGCTAAAGAGTCACGGGAGGTTGAGGAGGACCAGGATGAGCATCAGAAGACACCTGCAGAAACACGGGCTGGCCCATCCCGATAGCGACAGCGACCTGGAGCACGAAGAGTGTGAGTTTTGCAAAAGTGCATGCACAGCACAGCAGATGCACAGAACACGCTTATGTCAGGGTGCATGGGTGTACTTTCACTTTAAAAAAACAAAAACTGCTTACTCGACTTTATGTGCAGAGTGTGTGTCTCTGCAAAAATAAAAGATTTTTGCTCACCGGCGCTTAAATTATGTTGTGTTTTCATCCTTGCCTTCAGTATTTTCACAAGGTTTTGATGGAACAGATGCAATTTGTTTAGGTTAGCTTAGGCATGGTAAGACAGACTGTGAGCCACATGGGACTCTATCGGCTAATGATATTGGTATCTGCTGCCTCCATGTCTCCATCACATGCTGCTCTTTTTAAATGTAGTTTCATAGGATGATCTAAAGTGGCTCTTTTGATGTTGGAGGTTGCCGACACATGGGTTAGGTAAACAGTACTGTGTGCTACTGGTGTACGATTCATGCCATTTTGGGAATGACAGTGCTATGGAAGATGATAGGTGACAGAGTGAGGTAATCATCAATAATCAAATCATCTGCTTTGCCCCCATAAAACTTTGCAAAGATTAATGAAATAGAAAACAGGAATTAAAGACAAATGAATCTAAAACTATTAGTTTAGGTTGTTTTTTGTCTTTCTATGTTAATCTCTTTTAAATACATTTCATCTTAAAATGTAAATTTTTACTAGGTTTATTTATTCCTTGCTTTTATTTTATTTATTTTTATTTCCTTTCTTTCTATTACTTTAATAAAAACATTTATTATTATCTGTTTATCTGTATTAAATCAATACATGCGTTCTTTCTTGTTAGCTATTTCTTTACTCTCTTTTTGTTAAATTAAAACATTTCTTCCATTGTTTTCATCATATTTGATGGTGGCGTTCGTGCTGATGCTTTCTTATCTGCCTTGGTCTCGTCAGTCTCTCGTATTATGTGGCCGTCAGAACTGCATGAAGAACAGCTGAAATGAACCTGTAATTAATGAGGTGTTATTAATTAACATGAACTCAAATGCTTCTGCTTAGAGGGAAGAAGGTGATTTGATGTGTGTTTTCATGGGCGCTGCGTTTAGGTTGGTCTGACAGCATCAGCAGCCATCAGGCTCTGATCCCCGGCAGGCTGTCAGAGCCGAGGGTGGCCATACCGCTCGGCCTGTGCCAGGCTGGTGAGTTGGAGGCAGGGTGGCTGCTAGATTGCCTGTTTTGCAGTGTGCGTTGCTGTGGTTTCAGCTTGACTGACATTTGATTCTGTTTGTCAAAGGTCAATCTAAGCTTCTATTTTTTTATTCAACTTTAATTAAGACACGACATTTAATCAAAAGAATAAATGTTATACCAGGAAAACAATTAGTAGAAATTTTAGTGTGCCAATGCAGTCGCTACTGTATGAGTTATCACTAACAAGCAAGCATTAACAGACCTGATTTAATGCTTCCACCTAACGGGCCTCTATGTGAACCATAAGTCCCGTTGATTTTCTAAACAAAACTAAAATCTCACTCAAAAGTCACAGTTTAATGTTCCCGATCGACTGACTGAGAGAGACTTGGAGCTTTTTATTGTCACTGTGCAGTTTCTTGCACAGCGAAATTGGGTAGCTGGACTACAAAGGTGCAAAAGTTTATATAAAAAAAAGAGAAAGCAATATACAATGAGGGAAAAATAAAAAGCAATATGTATGTGTACATGTATACATACAGTGGGGCAAAAAAGTATTTAGTCAGCCACCGATTGTGCAAGTTCCCCCACCTAAAATGATGACAGAGGTCAGTAATTTGCACCAGAGGTACACTTCAACTGTGAGAGACAGAATGTGGAAAAAAAAATCCATGAATCCACATGGTAGGATTTGTAAAGAATTTATTGGTAAATCAGGGTGGAAAATAAGTATTTGGTCAATAACAAAAATACAACTCAATACTTTGTAACATAACCTTTGTTGGCAATAACAGAGGTCAAACGTTTACTATAGGTCTTTACCAGGTTTGCACACACAGTAGCTGGTATTTTGGCCCATTCCTCCATGCAGATCTTCTCGAGAGCAGTGATGTTTTGGGGCTGTCGCCGAGCAACACGGACTTTCAACTCCCGCCACAGATTTTCTATGGGGTTGAGGTCTGGAGACTGGCTAGGCCACTCCAGGACTTTCAAATGCTTCTTACGGAGCCACTCCTTTGTTGCCCGGGCGGTGTGTTTTGGATCATTGTCATGTTGGAAGACCCAGCCTCGTTTCATCTTCAAAGTTCTCACTGATGGAAGGAGGTTTTGGCTCAAAATCTCACGATACATGGCCCCATTCATTCTGTCCTTAACACGGATCAGTCGTCCTGTCCCCTTGGCAGAAAAACAGCCCCATAGCATGATGTTTCCACCCCCATGCTTCACAGTAGGTATGGTGTTCTTGGGATGCAACTCAGTATTCTTCTTCCTCCAAACACGACGAGTTGAGTTTATACCAAAAAGTTCTACTTTGGTTTCATCTGACCACATGACATTCTCCCAATCCTCTGCTGTATCATCCATGTGCTCTCTGGCAAACTTCAGACGGGCCTGGACATGCACTGGCTTCAGCAGCGGAACACGTCTGGCACTGCGGGATTTGATTCCCTGCCGTTGTAGTGTGTTACTGATGGTGACCTTTGTTACTTTGGTCCCAGCTCTCTGCAGGTCATTCACCAGGTCCCCCCGTGTGGTTCTGGGATCTTTGCTCACCGTTCTCATGATCATTTTGACCCCACGGGATGAGATCTTGCGTGGAGCCCCAGATCGAGGGAGATTATCAGTGGTCTTGTATGTCTTCCATTTTCTGATGATTGCTCCCACAGTTGATTTTTTCACACCAAGCTGCTTGCCTATTGTAGATTCACTCTTCCCAGTCTGGTGCAGGTCTACAATACTTTTCCTGGTGTCCTTCGAAAGCTCTTTGGTCTTGGCCATGGCGGAGTTTGGAGTCTGACTGTTTGAGGCTGTGGACAGGTGTCTTTTATACAGATGATGAGTTCAAACAGGTGCCATTCATACAGGTAACGAGTGGGGGACAGAAAAGCTTCTTACAGAAGACGTTACAGGTCTGTGAGAGCCAGAGATTTTCCTTGTTTGAGGTGACCAAATACTTATTTTCCACCCTAATTTACGAATAAATTCTTTACAAATCCTACCATGTGATTCATGGATTTTTTTTTCACATTCTGTCTCTCACAGTTGAAGTGTACCTCTGGTGCAAATTACTGACCTCTGTCATCATTTTAAGTGGGGGAACTTGCACAATCGGTGGCTGACTAAATACTTTTTTGCCCCACTGTATATGTGAGTGAACTATATACATGGTGTATGCATTAGAGACATTGAAACTGAAACATTGTGGGGCTGTGTACAAGGGCATGCAATAACACGTTTTGATCAAACGACCAAAGGTTCTCAGTGCTGTTATCTAGTCCATTGCACCTGCACACGCAGTGAGCTGAGAACATAAATACATTCATAGACGTAAAAAAAAAAAGCTAAGAAATGGGGGAGTAAGGGGGAAAAACGCACACACAGGGTGAAAACGTGTATTTGTGAGTTTAATGATAAGGAATCAACCAGCCTTCTCTTAAATAACTCACAGCTCAGTCTGATTGTGGCCTGTTTCAGATTTTCCCTTTAATGATATACCACAGCCTGTAATCACTTTCACTCCATTTATTTATTTTTTTAAACAAACACGTTTCTGAGCGTGTTTCGTTCCTGCAGTAAAACAGCTGCTGCAGGCTTTTTGTTTGTTTGCCACGTTCATCTACGTTAATCCTGCTGATGTCATATCACAGGGAACGTGATGCAAATTAAACAATAAGGGCAGAAAAATCACCCCTGCTGTTGCTTCTTCTCTTTGTTTGCACATCTGATACAGTTGACCGTATGAATATGTTTTTGAAATGAGCCTCCAGCCTGGCGGGTAGGTGAAGTGATTGTAGTGCAAACAGGGTGAGTGGAGTTCAGTCTGCTTGCAGCCTCTATGTCCTGTCCTCCTTCCAGCTGCTGTTTTATGTCTTTAAAATGGCTGTTGAAGCATTTTCAACACCCATATATCACTGACAGAGTCTCCATGGCTCTCTAAGATAAGCTGCACTGTAAAATTGAATTAGTTCCCAGAACTTAAAAAGACTATGCAAACTCATTGCCTCAAAACACAAAGTGAAGTTTACTTAAGATAACGTTCATTGCAGGTATACAGTACTAAGAATAGCCAGGTGTTTCTGGCACAATACTAAATGTTTACCCTCTGATAATCATTTCAAGTTCTACTAAATTAAAAAATAATTTGTGCTAACTTACTTAAAAAAAATCACACTATTTTTTTACAATCCTTGAAATTTCTAGTGCAGCATTTATATTAATATAACACTGAATACAAGTATCATTCAAAAAGAACTCATTTGCTTTCTTAAACATTTTTTTCCTGCATTTGCTGTAGAACAGACCTCAAAGTAGACAATCTCAGGCTCCCTCCCCACCGGAGAGGCGACATTCAATGTCCCACCTGTCAGTCTGGATAGCCCTGACCACCACCCAACACACATTAATGTCAGGAAAGCATATTTTTAAAAAGAGCTATGTTCAAGAACTTTTCATTGTGATTATTTGTATAATGATTTGGACACAAAGCAAATTTAACTGTTCAAAAACTTGCAGACTTCATTATATATTGTGCAGACAGTGTGGACCCTCTAAACCAAGGCTGGGTAACTCCAGGCCTCGAGGGCCGGTGTCCTGCAGGTTTTAGATCTCACCCAGAGTCAACACACCTGAATCCAGTGATTAGTTCATTATCAGGCCTCTGGTGTAGACACCTCTGCTCTAAACTAAGTTTGTGCGATATGATTTTTCAAGAAATGCAGATTAAGCTGTCGTTGTTTGTATTTACTTACACAGGATGTCTTGTGGAATTAACTCATCAGCGACCGCATAGTGCAGTCATAACGCAACTCTAATATCAGAAGGCAGGAAACGATCAATAAAGAAACAAGTTCCCCAAAGCAAAGAACAAATGAAACAAGAAGTAAAACAGGTTGATCTGCAGTATAATTACAGTTGCAGTTATTAGCAATTGTCACTGACAATTACTAATATATTGGAAAACCAAAATACTTCCCACTCAGGTTATGTCTCTCTGTCCAGCAGCTGCTTTTCTAGACTCCGTTTGATAAGTAAGAGTTTGATGTAATGTGTGCTGTGCTGGTCCTGAGCCTCAAAGACTGTAAGAAGCAAGCAGAGGGAGAAAAACCATTTAGAAGCTGATTTGATCCTTAATAGCTGTGCAGACCCCATACAACCACATTAGACTAACACATTTAGTATTAAAAACATCATCTATTGCTGTGTCTGAATGTGTGTTATTGGCACTGTCAGTTTAGGCCTAAAGAGATATGTGTGTTAAATTAGGTGGTTTTATTTTTTAATGTAATGATTACATGCTTGTTAAAAGAGTCAATGTCCAACTTGTGGGATCTTCATCCCACATAAAAATGTATAAAACGACTTCAGGTGACTGTTGTCTAAGGAGCTTGGAAAGAACTGTTGTTGTTAATTGGCGCTACATAAACAACATTTAATAATTTAATAAAAAGCCAAAGCTCATGTAAAGGTATTAAACCTATTTTTAAATGGCAGGCTTTTTTCTTTTGTTTGATTGTATGAAAGTGTACTTTTCATTTGATCTATGACCTCAGTAAACACTTTCCAGATCAGTTTATGGCCTCTATTGATCCACGGCCACTATTAAAATATGGTCCTTATTTGTATCACTTTGGACAATAAATCTCACGTACCGTGCTGACTCCATCCATCTCTGATATACAGTTTAACTGTGGTGTGTGCTTGGATGTGTATTTTTGTCAGCAGCAGTATCTTTGGAAATCCCACCATGAAAATGGTGCGTTGTTTAAACAGCACAGGTGCAACATCAGAAAAACTGAAATGCTCAAAGAACAGACCGTTGTTATCATTGTATGTTGACCATATAATGGTTTGAAATAAGTATAATAAGAACTGGTCAAAAATGAACGCCCCAGGTTGGGTGAACTCACTGAAATAGCTTTTATAAGAATAGTTCATTGTCTTCTTTTGATGATAGATAACTGGTAGATAACCGAATTTCCCGGAGGAACCCACCCGAGGGATTAATAAAGTTTCATCTAATCTAAGATAATTGAGCAATATCAATTGTTTTTTTAGCCTCTGACCCAGTGCAAAATGAGCCTGCGGGGGTCGGAGAGTTGCATGGGAACACGCGATTCTGGCACGGGAAAGACTACTGCAACTTTGTGCACAAGGACTGGATTCAGCTAGATAAGCCTTTCGATGGTAAGCACATCATTGATGGTCTCACTCTTGATGCAGGATGCTTTTCTTTAGGTCTGAACTTCCTGTTTCTGCTTCTTTAGATTTCATAGACAGGCACAAAACTCCCAGAATGCCTTGGCATGACATCGCCTCAGTGGTTCATGGGAAAGCAGCTCGGGATGTGGCCAGACATTTCATCCAGCGGTGGAATTTCACTAAGGTTGGGGGTCATGCTGCTGCTGCTGCTTCAGTCTGAATAAAAATGACAGAACTGGGAAAGTTGTGATCAAAAATTATGTGATCCCTGGTTGAACTGACTTGCACTAAACAAAGTCTGCTTGATTTTCATGACTGTAGAAGAAAAAGTTGATGAGATCTCTTTTCTGTTGCATTACCAGCTTGTGAAGCCAAAGTACCGCTCCCTGTCATACCCATATCTGCTGCCCAAATCTCACACCACTGCTGGAGAACAGCGATACCAAGTCCCCAACTGCATCCCCACCAAAGTACAGGTTAGTAGAGGTACTAACCCCCAAGTAGGCTATTTTGGGGTTGTTGTTATTTTTGCTGGCTTAGCTAATAGTCATCTGGTGTCAGTTATGTGCCTTAATCTTCGGTGAATTAATTAGTTTTACATTAATTGTAAAAAGCTGAAGCTACAAACATTGGTTTATATACTGTAATATACATTATTATGTAGTTTGTTGTGTCCGGATCAGCCTGTTTCTCACTTTTCAGACAGGAGCTTTATAATTATTAGGCCAGAACTTTGCCACTTGAACTGACGTGGCGTCCCCCAGAGCTCTGCCTTAGGTCCAATTATGTTTCTATTCAAGTCAATTCAGTTTTATGTATATAGCGCCAAATCACAACAGCAGTCGCCTCAAGGCGCTTCATATTGTACAGTAGATCATACAATTGTACACGATTCCTTTTGCACACACATCCTTTCAGTTCCATGAAGATAATATTCAGTGATTCATATCAAATAACCTTCGTAGAGTTTGACTGCATTGTCTTGTGGTCAGTTTAGGATCACATCAGTTGTGAATAAGATCTTTATTGTCCTTGCTTGGGGTTCTTCCCCAACTCAGAGGTAGAAATCCACTGTTTTCTGGCAGAGAACCAAGACCTCGTACTTGGAAACTGTACAAGGTCAGACTTGGAGGTGCTGACTCTCATTCCAGCTGCTTCACGTTCAACTGCAAAATACCTGCTGAAGATCACACTCAAATCAAACCAACAAAACGTCATCTGAGATACAGTTCAGAGGTTCCCAAAACATAAAAAAGGAATGTTAAAAATGTTATAAATTTTCTACATAGTTATTTGTTTGTAATTTATTTGCTAACCCACATCAGGTTATTCAGCATGGAAAAATTGAGCAGAATAAAATCAAAATATGGGAATAAATGGGAATGCAACTAGCTGATAACCAAATATAGAAACATGTTCACAAGGAACAGTTTCCAACTTTTTTGTAAAAGCTGAAATAAACATAAAAAGGTAATAAATCTTGTCTGTGAAGTTTCCTCTGAGTGACAGGAAACAGAGTCCTGTGACTTATTCCCATCGCTAATCTGTGTTCCCTCAGATCCTGCGCTCAGCTTCAGATTGGTCTGCTGGCATCAAATACCATGAAGAGTCCATCCACAATGCCTACGTCCACGTCATCAAGAACAGCCAGCACTTCATCTACATAGAGGTTTTCATTTTTACACATATAACACCTTCCTGTAGTAGAAGTATAACAACAAAAGTAGAAATTGTTTCTAAACGCTGCAACATAGAAAGATACCAACTTGATTTTTAAAGCTTCAGCCTTATTTTGGCTTCATGTTCTTGCAGAATCAGGTCTGCGTATGCAGCATGAAGCTTTGATATCCATAGGAGCACTTCGCTTTTCTTCACTGTGCAGAAAATATTTATGACCTTTGTACAGGATATAAGAATGTTTCTGTTTTTATCTCCCAGAATCAGTTCTTCATCAGCTGTGCCGACAACAAATATGTTTTCAACCAGATAGGAGACGCGATTGCAGAGCGCATCATTCGTGCGTACAGGTAAAACACAGATGCACACGCACACAGCGTAACGCTGAAAGAAGACACAGTTTGTCGATGTTTGTGTGGCTGCTGTGTGTTTAGAGTAAAAACACTCCGATGGACTCGACACTCGCTCTGGTTTATTGTGACATTATTTCCTAGAAACACAGTGTTTGTGTTGCTCTGTGTACCTTCCACATGTTTAACAGATGAACTCGGTCTGACACAGTCGAAGAGCTCGTTGGATACTTTCCTTTTGGTTCTCCTCTCTGTGATGTTTTGCTGGCGGGAAGTTTATTCTATCCTGCAGAAACACAAACCTGCCCCGACGTCTCTGTGGCTTCAGTTTATAAACAGTCCAGGATGGGTTTTTGATGAACCTTCCAGCTTTAGTGGATACATACACAAGAAAACATGTGTAGCATAATTAATGCATAATTCATTTAAAGATCTTTAAAATGGCCACACTCTGAAGTTCAAATTCTTAATCAAATCTTTTTATTTACACTATAGCAGATGTGTTTTTTTTTTTTTACCCGCATAGATACGTTTTTATCTGAGTTTATGCTTCTGAGAAGACACATCTGTTTTTGCACCAACTTCCTGGGCTCAAAGTCAAAGTTGTGCACAAGAACAATGTCCATTCTGGAAAATTCACGGACTGCTTGTTGTTGTACAGTTATTTAGAGGATTGTTTTGATTTTATAGTCATGTTTAGAAGGACTGAAGTACCTCTTCCTCCTCTCAAGTTACTGAGCTCATTAAAATAGCCTTTAATGAGTGAAGCGCGAATATAACCCTCTACCAAGCTATTGGATATTTCGGATGTTCTGGTCCTGGAGGCACTGATCTTTGTTTGATGGCATCTTGGATAAGGTTGCCAAACGGATGGACAGTTGATGGATGTTTAATCACCACCTGAAGTGTCAAGCCTGGTAGCGAACTCTGCAGTTGAGGGAAAAGCTGCCAATCATTGGATGTCACCAAATAAAGACAAACGAGTCTAAAATATTGTGAAAAGCCTCATAAATACACTGAAATGTTGTGATTTTCTATGTGTGATTTTAGGGAGGGTAAAACGTATCGCGTTTATGTGGTGACGCCGCTGTTGCCGGGATTTGAAGGAGACATCAACACTGGAGGCGGCAGCGCCATCCAGGCTGTCATGCACTTCAACTACAGGTGTGTGTGTGTTTGTAAGTAACAAAGAATGAGCCATGTTAAACCACTGCCACACCTTACCTTTTAACACACACACCTGTTAGATCTGCCGTGTGTGTGGGTGCTGTGTGCCTTCACTCCGTTCCTTTTTTTGTTGAAGCATTTTTTTCTCGCCCACATTCTTGAGTAAACAGGCAGCGCTTCCTGTTCAAACATGCTGACACACACAGAGCCTTGTGTTGTGTGGAATGTGGACTTGCTGCTAATCCTCCTCTGTCTCTCTGTCCCTGCAGGACCATGAACAGAGGAGACCACTCCATCATTTCCCAGCTCAAGAAAGAGAGTAAGTCAGCACTAACTGCAACACCCTGATGGTTACAGGGTGTCACGTAGCCGCTCTGGTTGGGACTATGAGCTCTCTTTGCACTGTATGCACTGTATTTTCCATCATTGTGTCACAGCCTTTAACATATGTAGGGTTAAGTTAATAAATTAGTTCTGAAAAAAGCAGTTTATTTACAGTCAGCTGAATCTTAGATAGACTTTTAATCTCAAATCCTGTTTATCGTGTATATTTGTGCAGTAATGCCTAAAGCTTGGTTTATACTTCTGCGGGAAATCTACGTCCTAACTTGTGTAGTAACCAGAAACTCCTTTTATCCCTAAAATGAAACCGTCCATGCCATTCAAGTCATTGCAGCGCAGTGTTAAAATGGGATTCCAGTTACAGTGTAGATTGTTACAGTTACAGTAACTTCAGCAATGTTTTCCTGTAAATTGTAGTTGTAGCAATGAAGCTCTTACCTGAGTCGGTTTGAACATTTTATTCGTAGTTCCCTCGCTCACTTCGGTTTCATTTGTATATCACCAACTCACACTTTTATATTGTAAGATAAATAATCGATAGTATTAGCCAGAGAAGCGCATCAGTCAGTTCCTTATGAGCAAACACTAGGTGACCGTGTGGATTTTCTGCTCTTTCTATACAATTTCAATGATCAAAACCCTCAAACTGCTAAAATACTGATGTGATTGTAACTGTGTGGCGTTTGCTTGCAGTGGGAGATAACTGGATAAACTACATCTCCATCGCTGGTCTGAGGACTCACACTGATCTGGAGGGGAAGCTCGTCACTGAGCTCATCTATGTCCACAGCAAGATGCTAATCGCGGACGACAACACCGTCGTCATCGGTGAGCAGCTTCAACTGAGTATAGGAATTAAATTCCACCCTGAACATGTATAATAGTGAAGCGAGAAATGAGAGCTGCAGAGTGAGACGTGTCAGAAGATTTTAGATGTTTTTAAAATGGTTCAAAACAAAGTCACGACTCAGTTTCCACAAGACAAGACAGTTTTCAAAGATGGAGAGAGATGAAATCAAACACCTGTTTCTGATGAGAGTTTGTCTTTTGTGCAGATTAGTGGAAGATGCTGTGCTTTACAGGAAGCTGATGATCTATTCGGTTTATAAGTTCATTTAAAGACGCGTGCTTCCACAACTCTGGTTTTATTTGGAAATTGCTATAAGAGTTTTAATAATTTAATTCAGAATTACAGAATTTCCAATAAATAGTATAATTTATACATTATTTTGATCACTGATGACATAGTAGCTGTAAAAGACAATAAGTTTTCTTATTTTTGCAAATAAATGTTTGAAGTAAAAGACAAAAATGAGTGAATCTAAGGAAATTACTGAAGTGGATTCCTTAGATTTGACTTCTTGGTTTGTGTGTTATAAAATCATCAGGATCATTTCATGTAAACAACCAAACGCACGGTATTACATTTTTGTTTGTTTGTTTTAATATTAAATGATGCTGTTTAAAAATGTTACCTTCTTACTGTGGACAGTTTCAGAGTTTCAGGCGCTTGAATTAAAATCTCGAGGTTTTTAGTTCAGGTTTTAAACCCACCGTGGGAGGGCACCACTTGTGGCCACAAGTGGCGTCATCTAAAGCCACTTTTTTATATATCGAGATATAAAATGAGACTGATGGGTTAATTTGGGAGGCAACGATTGAGTTTCTCAGATGTTTTCATAAGAAAGGCCCAGAGTGTTGTGTACAGATAATCTGAGAGTCGTTGACACCCGGACGGATGTGGTGGTGATGGGGAGGAGAGTTAGTACAGTAGATTTCAAAGGCAGAATTATCTGATAATGTGGTGACATCAGTATTATAAATATTGGTTGACAATGTGGGGAAGTGATGGTTAAAATAAAAATACTCGGCCAGAATAAAGAGATAATCTGAGGGAGCAGAACTTCCTCCTCCAAACTTCATCTCAAGATCTTTTTTCTGTGAATCATCTCTAAGCTTAGGTGATAGTTGGCAGTAACTCTTGACCACTGAACAGTGTCAGCATCCTATAATACTGTCAGGATATGTTGCTGATGTCTTGACTGTTTTGTTGCTGTTTGCATCGTAAGTAAATTTAGGAATAAATGCGTTTTTCTCTGTTTTTAAATGGAAAGTTGGTGCTTTTATTTTGCCCACACCCACAAAGATAAGTTTAAAAGAAAAACATTTCCCTAAAAACTGAATTAGCACAAGAAAGTAAAAGTAAACTTTTATTTAAAAAAAATCTCTCCTGTTGAATTAATTGTAATTAAGTCTTTTAGTGTCTCGTGGTAGTTTTAGTGAAATGTATTTGTTTAGCTGCAGGTCTTATGATTAGGATGTGATTCTAACATAAAGTGAAGCGAAAACCTCCAGTACACTCAAACTGGCTGTGAGAGAGCTGCAAACAGCCTGAACAGCAGAAACCTAAACAGTCTAAAATCCAGTGTTGCAGCGCCCCCTGCTGGTGCTTTCTGTCCCCTGACGCCTGGTTTGATCCTCCGTTTCTTCAGGTTCTGCCAACATCAACGACCGGAGCATGCTGGGAAAGCGGGACAGCGAGGTGGCGGTGATCGTGGAGGACTCGGAGATGGTGGACTCGGTGATGGACGGAGAGCCGTACAAGGCGGGAAAATACGCCCTGCAGCTCCGGCTCGAGTGCTTCAAGTACTGAAAAATGTGCAATTACACATTAGAAAGGCTTATTTGACAGAAACACTGATTATTTAATGATGATGATAACTGGAAACGTACATTCTCAAATCAGCTGTCCAACGCTAACGTGGTGAAAGAATGGGAGGTTCAGTCCCAGCCTGAAGGAGCGTGTTTGAGGCAAAGCCCCTCTTTCAGATTCATTTAATATTAGTGCATTACTGCTCTCCCAACCTCCTTGTTTTCTGACATGGATTCTGCTCTTCACCACCTCTCACTGGGTGCAGATTTCAAACTTCTCAGACTTTCAAACAGTCTCAGACTGCACACCTCTGCCAGTTTGGAAATTTCCCTTCACATCACGCGCGACTTGAGTTTCTGCATCCATACTGACATCTAGATCCTGATTAGTTAGTTACATTGTTGTCTTTCAAAAAGAAAAAAGAGAACAGATAAAAAGAGGTGTGATAGTGCAAACATCCACACAGTCACTGCTTCTTAATATGTGGTTCAATCCATGAAATTAAACAATCCAGATGTGACTGAAGTGCAGCCTTTAAGCTTTAAGTTATGCTATATTGTATCCATTTTTATACATAGTCCTTATTTGCCTTTTAAATTCTTTTCAAGTTTGTCTCGAAGTAAATGTGTAAATTTTGTATGACTATTATATTCATTTTCTACCCTTTAAGTCTCTCTGAAATGTAAAGATTTTAAAGCAGGTTGTTGCTCTGTTTTTACTTATTATATTGTTCAGTATATCTTTGTGTGTCTCACCCTCCTCCTGTGTCCATCAGGACGATCCTCGGCACTTACACAGATCCCACCATCGATGTTTCGGATCCAATCAGCGATCACTTCTACAAGGAGGTCTGGATGTCCACCAGCGCTCGCAACGCCTCCATCTACCAGCGAGTGAGTGTACTCCTTTGTATTCAGCTCAACTTTTTCTTTCTTTTTCTAAAATATATTTTTTACATGAGTTTTCTATTATTTAATGGACGATTTAGTCAATATTAAAACTACAAGCATATCAGCTGAAGGTAAAGCTGAACTTTTCCACTTGCTGTCACACAGTCATGGAGGAATACTATAACTACATAATCAGTCATAGATCCTGAATAATGACATGAAAAAATTGCTCCAAGCTCCTGTTTCTCTCCTGCTCCTCCAGGTTTTCCGCTGTCTGCCATCCAGCGACGTCCGTAACATAATGGAGTTGGAGGGCTACCTGGCCAAGGCCGGCCTGGACAAGGAGGACCCGGCTCGGGCTCAGGAGGAGCTGAAGAAGATCCGTGGCTTCCTCGTTCAGTTTCCTCTTCAGTTCCTGTCTGAACAAAACCTGCTTCCACCCATCGGCTCCAAGGAGGCTATGGTGCCCATGGAGGTCTGGACCTGAGGCAGAGGGGGCACGTCTGTGTTCGTTGAGTGGAAGGTGGATAGAAAACACTCTGACGCCATTCTGGAGGTCTGACGGGGCTCTGACCAAAAACAGATGAGGTCATGCTGGAGCTTTTTAAATGTTATGATCTCTGTTTCACATCATAGATTATAGCTCATGATTGCATGTTAAGAAGACAGCATCTCCCTGAGTTGAGACTCTCCACAAACACACAGACCGATGTCAAAAATGCTGACATGTTCACAGAGAGCAGAGACTGGAAAAATGAAGTAATCATAGATAAAATCATACATGAAGTTTAAAGGATAAATAAATGTATTGACAACAGGCAATTTATGTGATTTAAATAGATTACCTGGCAGCCTCAACAGGCGTGCCACAGGAAAACAGGTGTGGTCAAAACCGTTTAAAATGGTTGTGTCACACAAGGAAATCACAGAAATCGGAGATTATTTAGAAACACCTACTAATTACTGTGATGAGCTTTAAGCTGCAGCTTTAGAGGAATGTCTGCCCTTAAGGCAGAAATATTTCTGGATACTCATGTCAATAAAGCAGGAACTAAAATGCGGTCAGTTCCCCAAATTTTGTCCAAGCAGGCTTTTGTGTGTTTGTTCAAACCCACATTTGTTTGAGTTACACTAATCTGAAAAAGCTCTAATAAGCTCCAGTTTCTAAACGAATATACGAGACCACACCTGACTATACACACTTAGCAGCCACAACATTAAACCTTCTGACAGGTGAATCACATCTTGTGAAAAAACAGTGCTTTGCTGAGAAGCTTTGAGTTCTGGCATCCCATCAAAAGATAGTTGCAGACTAAATGCATACACCCTTTTATGTTACCAACACTCCCTGACAGCAGCGGTCTCGTCCCAGCATGATGAAACATGACGCAAAACCTTCCCGGGAACACGATCTCCACCTAGAGGCCAAAACTTCTAATCTTCACTAAAATCTGGTCGACCATCAGCAGGATGAGCCAGAGCAGGCAGAGCAATCAATGCAGCCCACATTATTAAAGGACAGTCATTAGGGTCGGGCATGGACCTCAAGTCCTGGGCAGTTTTTGCTTTGTGGAGGAGACCACTGCTGTTGCAACAGGTGGTAGCATGTTGATGTGCATGAGCTTGGTCTGCAGAAATCGTGATACATACCAGGGCCCTGGGGCAGAATCTTTAATTGCATCAAAATTACAAATGTTATTCATTTAAACTGCCAGGACTTCTGTTCTCACAGCCTGGGGTGACCACATTATGACTGCCCCCACTTTGTGACATCATACAGAGCCAATAGTGGAAACATTTTTATAAACGGAGGGTTTGGAGCAGTGTGAGTTTTGGGCTCAGCCATGTTTAACATGACTATCCACCATCTGATTTATGACAGAAGGTGGACAGACCTAAATGTTGTGGCTCTTTGGTGTGTGTTACTTTCTGTGTTTAGTAGCTCCAAAAACCAGAATTGACTCTTTGTTACAGACATACAGCAGTTTTGTTTACAGCCTTGTAAACGTCACCTCCAGCATGGCGTCAGCTGTGATGTAACATCTATGAACCTAACCTTACAATGTTCAAAGACTGAGAGAGACTCCACAGCTTCCCAGAGCTCATATGTGCACACAGGTTGCTTCTGAACAGAAGCAACAGACATGGGCGTACAAACCAGCAACAGAGGGAGCGATGGACTCTACAGTGCCTGAAAATCTAGGCCTCGTGTTTACAGGAAAAAATGAAATTCCCCTGTCACCGTGAAGCTATTACTCTACCTTTTTTGTTTGTTTTTTAAGTACAGCTTGAGCCTCCGTTCTCTAACAACACTATGCAACGTCCAGCTCTGACTCTTCTGCTTTCAAAAGACACTAAATCGTTAAATCCAGCAGAGCAGAGGCGGGGATGAAGAGCCGGATCGAGCTGTCGGGCGTCTCTGCACATGTTTTCCTTTTAAACTCGTCTCATGTGGCTGCTTTTAATATTTATGTCAAACAGGAAATCAAACGTGCCAAAGATGACGGACTGTACGCTGATGTTAACACACATTCCTCATACTGTGGATTCTGCATGACTTAAGCCTCAAGTGACCTACGTTTATACCAGCTGTACTGATATAGCTCTATGTTGCTGGTTTCTAATTTCCTAATAATAATTTTCTGGAAACCACTACTGTAACTTGGTGATTGGGGGATTTAAATAATAATAAATATTAATTTATTACTTGTGTGTAATTGGGAACATTTTTCTAGATGTAATAAATTATTTTCATTGGTTGACTTTTAGAAAGACTCCAGTTATTGAGATCAATTCATACAACGTGTCACTATTTCCAGGAAACTATTAGGAAATTATAGACTTGTACAAAGCTATTTTATTTTGGAGAAGCATGCATGAAGAGTTTATTAAATTGCTGCATTTCCTTTTGTGTCAGAAAGCGGAAATTTCCCACAATGGCTAACTTTGCATTAACAGGTAATACTGGTTTGTCACTGGTATAATGGATGTTTTATGTCCACCAGGGGGCGGTAGAACAACATGTTACCACTTTAGTAAGTTGTTGTGATGACTGTGTCTGCAAACTGTTGCCAGTTTAGACAAGCAGCAGGAATAAAGACACGTGATTGTCCATTACTGAGTTCACCTGCTGAATATCCATCAAATCTAATTCGGAAAGTTATGATGCCAAAGTCTGTCACTGTTCCAGATGGTGATTCCCAATGTTTGGTTGACTGAACGACTGAACAGCGGTGCTTGGATAGATCTCCCCTTGGTGAACTTGTGTGTGCAGCGTTGCTACCATGAGACACTGCAGTCACATGTTTTTGCTACCATGAAGTCAATCAAAGCTCTCTTATCTTAGATCAGGACGTCTGCCTGTGATACGTGTGATACTATTTGCATTCTGCCTTTTAGTCATTTTAAATTATCCGGTGTTAACAGTCATGGGGGATCTAAAAGAGTAGCTTCTGTCACATTTTCACAATCCTGAATCAACTATTCACCCCAAAAGTCAAACTTTCACTCTTTCAGCTGCATATTTGGTCTCCACCTACTCTAAGAATTGCCTCTTACAGTTCAGCTGCTACATGTAACACTATACTGATCGGCTACTTGGATAGTCTGTGTAGAGTTGAGGAGAATCCAACAAACAAAAGCCTTCAATGCTTGTGGCGTTCCTTTGAAATTGGATTAAGTGTTGGTCCTATTTGGAACAGAACTGCACTTTGGTGTAAAGTGCGACGAAGTCAGACCACAAGACTTTCATGATTTCATATTGACTTTGTGGACTTTGACTGATTTATGTCAAAATTTGGGTAAATATCACCGTGACCATGTCCATGTCAAAATAGACAATTTCAGTTTTAACCTTTTTATTGCTCAAATCAGCCCTAACTTCTGGTGATTAAAAGAGGACTTTTGTGGATGCAAACATGGCTTCACCTTGTGGAAAATATGTCTTTAAGTGCGTTATCAAGAAGATATTACACCAGCTTTGTCTTTGTACTTTGTTTCTGCTCCCCTCAAGTTGCCAAAAGATATTATTGCAGGTTTGGAATATTTACAGTTAAATACCTTCTGATTAACCAGATGCATGAAGCCTCATGCATCAGAATCTTCTGATCTTCTAACACATCTGGAACGCAGCATCACTATTAGTGTCTTCCTCGTTGGTCTGTTCCTCTGCATGATGCTGTTTTGTGCTGTAAATTTGAAATGTAAGGATCTTTACTGACTGCAGCTGACAGCATGACAGCAGCTCGTTGCCATTAAACCGTCACGGACAAACGTGTGAACTTTATAAGCTGAACAGTTTTCTTTAAAGCCATTGTTGAAGCTAATCGGTGTGTCTGTCTGTAAGATAGACCTGATACTTTAATGTTGTTGGAAATTGGGCCTTAAGTGTGCTCTTTCTGTTTAGTCTTCCTCTCTACCTCCCTGTGTTTCTACCTCCTGGTCCAGCGCTTTCTCAGCTCCTCACCTTTTCAGCTTTTGTGATATCAGATTAAATCTAAATCAGAAGCTTAAAATATAAAAGGCTGAGCTCAAATCAATCAACTTAAACACAGAAATATATCTGAAATCTGACTGTTTGCTCGTGTTCTTTGAATCTCAGCTTTTCTCTCGTCTGCCTTTGTTTTTGCTGTATCTCTATAAAAATGCACTATTTGCACAGTTTGTTTCTTTGTGGCAGCCCCTTAAAGTGATCTGCACATCATGTGTTGCTTTTTGAAATGATGGATTAAATAAATGAGGTGTTAACAAGTCATTGAAAAGCATCTGATCGTGTTGTTCAGTGATTCCTTAGTTCAGTTCAACTCAGACTTATACTGAGACGCTCAGTAGCATCTTCTTTAGAGTTTTCTGTCAATCAACACAGAGGCACAAGCACTCACTGTGCTGGATCTATATGGGCTGTTCAGCACCTACGATGTTAAATATTAAAATGTTTTCATTATCAAAGTCTAATTCTTTAGGATTTAAACCCTTGTATGGAAATACATATTTTTTCATGATATCACAATTTGTTCTTTTTTGTTGAATGAAATTCAAAATGTCTTTTTATTCATAAAAGATTAACATTTTTTTTCCTGTAAATAAAATGGAAAGTTTAAAGTTTGTGAAATAGGAACGTCCAGCTAAGAATCCACTGTAGAAAAATACATTTAAAAACACCTTTTATTTCTTAATAACATCGTATACATTTTTAAATTCTCATCATCTATTTCTCAAAATTATAAAATGCATAAATGTCTTTAAAACTGACAAAAATGCTAAATTCATAACATGAAATGCTGAAATTAATGTGATTAATGTGAGTAGTTTTATGGCTTCATTTATTGGTAAATGTTTGGAAACTTGTTTAAATATTAATCATTTCATTCTGTTTCCCTGCCTTTCTTTTGTCACATGATGGAAGTGTTACTTAAAAAAAAAAAATCCTTTCTTTCAAACCAGGGGTCTGAAACTCCAGCTAGACGCCGGTTAGCTTAGCATTGCACAAAATTTGAAAGCGCCAGGAAAACACACAAGTTCAGTTCAGTACAGGTTTATTTATACAGCACTAAATCACAACAGGACTTTCTACTGAAAGGTAATTTATCCTAAAGAAAATCACCCCTACTTGTGGCTCGTGTATGTGAAGGAATACAATGCAATCTGGCCCTTGAAGCTGCTTTTTTTGTTAGGGGGATTTGTTTGTTGTTCTTCTTTAAAAAGCAAAAAATGATTTAATATGAAGGCAAAATACAAGTTTACATTTGCAGTTTAAAATGAAAGAAATGGCGAAAAGTAAAAAGAAAAACTACTACATTTTTGGATTTCTGGATGTTTTCTTATTTATTTGTACTACTTTAGCACTAAAGTGGCCAGCAGGGACCCACAGCTCATTTAAGATTGAGTCCCTGTTACAAACCAATGCTTTAGTTTCTTTTTACTCAAATCTACTGTGACACACACCAGTTTAAATGTTTTTATTTACATGACTACTTTTTAAAAATCTCCCGTCAAATGGAACAAAACTGTGATGCGCAATACAAACATCAGTTGAACTGAATCCACAACAAGAACAAACAAACTCTATGAAAGAAAAACGGCATATCAGTGAAATCGAGTGGAAACGTTCAGATGGCTACAATTTAAATTCCATAAGAAGCCCATAAACACTGTCACTCCTCTGTGACGCTGGGCTGATCATTGTCAAAAAACTCAGATGTGGATTACTCCAGATGTGAAAGTGAGCACTGACAAGTTCTCCCTGTTTGATAAAACTCACAGCAATCACCTGAAGTATTAAAGAAATCTTCTTATGGAATTTGTTGACATGAAATGAAAAACACATAACAAACAAGCATCCAACACTGCCTTATAAGGAAAGATGATGGAAATCAATCTGTTGGTAGGAAACCGTGACCCTGGTATCAAAGACGATCCACCATAAACAGACACCTGCAGTACTTCACAGGTTTTTACATATTTTATGGGAATAAACCACAGAGGCTTTAAATAACTACAGGTCATCTGCATGTTGGTCCAGTTCTATCTTTGCATTCACAGTGTTAAATAAACCTTTAAGGCCCAATTCTTGGATGTGTTTCAAATGCACGTTTGACACTTGAGAATACAGATGTAGAAAAATACAATCTACACAATCAAAACTGAACAGCATCACCCCTGTTTTTGTTGGCATTTACGTCTTTTTCTAGTTACTTTTTACAGCAACTGTAACGGCAGTCTCGCTTTTCATGCCCCGCTGAGTTTGGCAGGAGATTTACAAGCATCGATCGAGCTTCTCAAGGATTTCATTCCTCATCTTAGGCATGACCTGTGAAATATATTTCCATTATGCATATATGATTAAAAAGACAACATGGTTTAATGTGATCAGGAGGAAGTAAACTTACGTGTCTTTTCAAAGGTTCAGGTTGGACTCTATAAATCGGGGGGGAAACATCTACTATTTGTCCTCACACACGGAGTTCTGTAAAAAGAAGAAGTCATGCATTTACAAACAGTGCACTGAAACTGTTACACAACGCAGTTTGTCAATATGACGTTCCAGCTAGAAGCCGGTTAGCTTAGCATTGCACAAAATCTGAAAACAACAGGGAAACACGTGAACTAAGCAAACAATGAAGAAAGTTCAGTTCAGTACAGGTTTATTTATACAGCGCTAAATCACAACAAGACTTTCTACTGAAAGGTAATTTATCCTAAAGAAAATCACAGCAAGCACTTGGCGACAGCGGGGAAGGAAAAACTGCCTTTTAACAGGAAGAAACCTCCAATGGAACCAGGCTCAGGGAGGAACAGCCATCAGTACTGAGTTGTTGTATTAGTTAAGAGTGGTTGAGATTTGTATTTATATCTCTTTCTTTGTATTATGTTTTAGTCTCCCCACAGAGTCACACTGAATCTTGTCCTCAAGCCCTTTTTAGGTCACGTCCTATTTTACTTGGACTTTGTGCCTGTTTGATCCTGGTGTTTGCTGGAGTTTGGTTGTTGTTTTGCTTCATGAACTTTGTACACTTGGAGTTACCTCTAATTTTAGACCAGCTAGCATTTTCTCAATAAAGGTATCAGAAAGCAAGACAAAGACAGGGAATTAATGCTTACTTCACAATTTCACTCTCCAAATTAGATCCGATCAGCTCCTGGTTGCAGTTGTGTTTCATCAGCAGAAACTTGGCTGTGGGAAACTTCGGTGCGTCCATCTGTAGCTCATCACTGAAAG